GTTAAGAGATTTATGGCAAGGAATTGGTGATGCGATGGTGGGGGCTGGCTAGATAAGTCCAAAATCTGACTGGCAGGCGGGAACTCTGGGCCTGGTTTGACACTACTGTCGCCAGGCAGAATTCGTTCCCCGTCAGGAAAGCCTCAGGCTCTGCTCTTAAGGTCTTTCAAATGACGTAGTCAGGCTCACCCAGAATATTGAGGACAGTCTCCCTGACTTCAAGTCAACCGATCAGGGGCTGTAATCTCACAGTGACACTGAGATTAGTGTTTGATTGAAGAACGGGGACTTGTAGCCTCACCAAGTTGACACTGACAATCACAACAGCCTTTCTCTGTCTATGGTTTCTAGCTCCTTCCAGCTTGAGCACCCACTCTCAGCCAGCGGCCCTTGCTGGGGGTGGGGTGAAGTCAGCAGCCCTCCCAGCTCTCCTGTGGTGAATTCTCCCCTGGACTCTGCTCTCGGGCCATGTGTCTTTTGCTTGTGAAATCTCCATTAACGCGCCCAGTGAGCCCCATGTGAGCCCAGCCTGGTGTGGAGCCATCGGCCTGCTCGTTGCCCTCTTCGGGGAACTGGCAGAGCCCGCAACACAGGTTTACAGAGCGCCTGTTTTCCTGGCCCTGCAGCCATGCTCTGGGCTGGACTCCCTGGTTAGGCTGGGCTCTGGGTTGCAGGAAACCAGCCCCATGGTTGTTTTGTTTCGATTGCACAACCCTGGTGCAGGAGGCCAGAGCAGACATCTGCTGTTTTGGCCAGCCCCGACACCCCCACTCCCATTTCTGGCAAAAGCCCCCCAATTTCCTCATGGGGAACTCCCCCCATATGTGCAGCCTGGGGAATGGGCTGTCAGTCCAGGTGTGCTGCTGTCCTTCCTTGCCAGGGGATGGGCCTCTGGCCCTGACTGTGTCACCAGCCCGCCCTCCCTGAGGACAGGTACTTGTTTCTCATCCTAATGGCCAGTCCCTGCAGGTAGTTACAGGGTCTCCCCTGGTCTCCGAGACCCCAGGTTGTGTCCTCACTGGGGCCTGCCTGCTCTCCCCCTTGGTCTGGCGATGAAGCCCTTTTCTGCTCAAGGCAAAACAGCCCATTTCTGTGGCTCAAACCTGACTGACTAAATTTGAATGCCAATCCTGCTCTGCCCAGACTCGCTATGTGACCCTGGGCAGATGGCCCCTCTCTGGGCCTCAGTTTCTTCACCCGCATGTCTAAGCTGGCCTCCAGTGCTGACACCCCAGCACCCTATGACAGTGCAGCCGACTGGGATGCTCGTGGATCAGCTGGGGCCTTCTCTGCCCTGACCTAGCGGTCTCTGGGGAATGTTTGGTGGTCGAGGGGAGGTGGGGGTTGGGGAATCCTTAGTTCTACTTCCTGCTGTGGGTAGTGGGGGCCATAAAGATCAAGGCACTTTGTACCAAGACCTTGCTAAGTTGACTTTGCACAGCTAAGCAGTTACTTTAATAGGACAGTGGTCCACCTCTCTTTAAGCCATTATGCCGTAAATTTTTGAGAATCTGATGAAAGCTTTGGATGCTTTCCCTATGAAAAACATCTCTCCATCCATGTCTTTCTCGCCTTCTCCCTCTCTCTCTTTCACACACACACACACACACACACACACACACACACACACACACTTTAATGTAAAGTTTCAGGAAGAGGTTTAGGAATAGCTTTCAGATACCTGTCCTGACCCTCAGGTGAGTCATATCCGTTTATATGACAGATAACCAGCTTTGGTATATGTGTTAGTGGCCAGGCTCTACACCAGGTGCTTTGTGAACATCAGCTTAACCAGTCAAGGAAAGCATTTGTGGTAGAGATTGCTGTTTTCACCAAACCCTGGTTCATTATTTTCCCCTTGGGCATGCAGCGGGACTACATTTCCCAGCCTGCCTTGCAGTTAGGTATGGCCACATGACTGTCCTCTGGCCAATGGAATGTGAGCTGAAATGATGTGTCCACCCCCATTCTAGCCGGGTCCATAAATTCCTTCCATGTCATCCTTCACACTCTTTCTCCTTCCACAAGATTATTGCAGAGGAGGATAAGGCCCTAGAGAACGACGGAGCCACAAGATGAAGGAGTCTGGGTCCCTGAGTGACTGTGTGGAGCCGGACTCTGGCACCTCCCCTCCACCAGCCCAAAGTAGACTGTACCATGAGCAAGAAATAAACTTTAATTTGAGGGCTGTTTGTTATAGCTGTCGGCCCATTCTAACTAAAATAACATTTTTATTATCCCCATTCAGGGGAGTGTCTTTTTATTCTAAAGGGTCCTTTCTTGGGTTTCCTTTAAAATAGCAGGCTTCCCAACTGCATTCAGCCTGGGATCCTGCTGGCCTTGTGCCTGGTGCCCACCTGAATTCAAGGCATCTTCTCAAGGACCCCAATTTACAGCTTCACCTCTCGCCCTTAGGTCCTTCCACCCCAGCTTTCCTCGTTTTATTATGTCTGCAATCTGTGGCTTTCTTGTTCTATTCTGTGGCCTCCCATCACTCTGGCTGTTGTCTGGGGTTTGGGGTCAGCTGTATCTGTGTTTTCCTCCCTGACAAATAGCTCCTTGAGGGCAGGGCCTGAGGCTGGCTCGCTGCTGAATTTCCTCATGCCCACCGGAAGATGGGCACATATTGGGTGCTTCTGAAATGCTGTGGTCTTTATAATTCCACAGTCGGGAAGCCCTGAGCGGGTTGTTCCCAGAATCCCATGTTCCTGGGGCACCTTGGATTCTAGAGGAATAAACCGGCCTCTGCCTATGGCTCCTTTCCTAAATGGGCCAGACTTGGGAAGGTGGAGGCTAGGAGCCTGGGCTGCCTCACTCTGGCCCTGTTTCCAACCACAAATTGCACCCCAGCCCCCGCTCTGGGCCCCTGCATACTAGGAGACTGAAAGGTCAATGATATTCCCACTGTGGGCAACCCTTTCCACCACCATCCCTCAGAGGAAGGCCTGGCCCCTACCTTTTTAATAATTCAACCAGTTATCTTCGTAATAATAATATTAACTACGTGCTGTGTGTGCCAGGCCGCAGGCTAAGCCATTTACATCCTAGAATCTCTTTAATCCCTCACACCATCTCTGGGAGATGGATGCACTCATCCCCATTTTACAGATGAGGGAGTTAAAGTTCCAGAAGCCCCTCCCCAGAAGCCCCCAGGACCAGCTGTGAAGGCAGCAGCTCGGGGCTGGGCAGGCAGGGTGTTGTAGTAGACAGGGCTGCTTTTCCCATGCAGAGCAGTGAGAGAAAAGCCACTGAGAGTAGAGAAGGGCGAGCTCCCAATGCACCCCCATTGGGTCCCTCTCCTCCTTTGCTCCTTTCCCTGGTCCTTGACCTCTGCCCACACCACTGGCCACTCTGACCCCACCCTGGAGCTCATGTCCTCTCCCTCTCCGGTTCCCACCCTCGAAAGCTTGGCTGTTAGGTTTCTCCCAAGCAGACGCAGGGAGCGATGCTTCTCCGAGGTTGTGTGTTCACTTTGCAAAACAGCAGAAATTTATAGCCCAAGGAATTGATCGCCGTGCTGCCGCCTCTCTCCATCTCCCTCGGTGTCCTCATTCTTTTCTCCCCACTCTCCTTTCCCTCTTTTCTCAGTGCACCATCTGTGGTGTCAGAGAAAAGGAAGCCAAGAAGGGGGGTTTCTAGTCCCAGCTCTGCCAATTACGAGTCACATGAACCTCAGTTTCCCCATCCACAATCGGAGATGCTAATAATACCTGCACACAAGTGTGCTGGGCCCTGTGGATGCTGGGGCTGTGGGAAGCACCTGTACAGTGTGGCTTCACTCCCCAGAGCTGGCTTTGGGGCCTGTGAGGTGGCTGGCTTTGGGGCCCACCTTCCAGATGGGGACGCTGGGGCCCAGAGAGCTCAAGGTGTCTGCCCAGGCTCACAGAGCTGGTAAACAGCAGCCCTGGGGCTTGAACTCCCATCAGTTGTGCTGCAAAGCCCAAACCATTAAGCTGTACTGCCTTCCTCTCCCCCCAGGGTCAATCAGAACAGAGGTGATCTTCACCAGGCCTCCCCATCTCTATGTCACTTCCTCCTGGGGCTAACTATGGGGAAGCAGCAGAGGCCCTTGAGGTAAGTGGAGTGCTTTGCAAACCGGAGAGTGTTGTCATGGAAGGAAGCTTCACCATCATTTCCATCCCTCAAATGTCTGGGAGACTCTCTGTGACCTAAGAGGCTTGCCTGGGCCTCAGAGTCCTCCCACCTTTTCTTCCAGAGACTCTGCATGAACAGAAGCCTCCCACCTGCCAGGCCCCCACACCTGCCAGCCTCCTGGTACCTCCGGGGAGGTCCACAGAACCTTCTGGAATGACCCACAAAAGGGCTCTGAACAGCACTTCACTTGCCCTTCACATGGTAGATGAGGCACCCAGGCCTGGGACTGGTGGCCCAGGTCCCCCTGAGCTCTGCAGGCCTGGCTGGAAAGCCCCCTCCCGACTCCCACTCCAGTGCTCACTGCGCCGGCAGCCATTCCTGCTTCTGTCTGTTCAGTTCTGGGGGGAGAATATTTCCAGGGGATGAGAACTTGTCTTTTTTCCTTCCACTCCCTTCTCTTTTTTGTTCTCAGTCTGGCTTCCTCTGTCTCTGCATGTCTCTGTCTGTCTCTGTGTCTCTCTCCTAGCATCCAGCCTGCAGGTAAGGACTTGCCTTCTTCCCATGCTGGGCTGCAAGGTCAAGTACAGCTCCTCTCCCACTCCCTTAGCCTCCAGGGCGCCTCTGCATGCAGCACCCAGCCTCCTCCCTTCCCCATCGCAGCCCTGGGGGGTCCCAGCTGGGGGGAAGCCCATGCGTTTGGTTCCCCCCCTTTCTGTAGGGACAGGAGGCTCCAGGCCCTCTGGCTGCCTGCTCCCGCCTGGCTGGTGGAGATGAGAGCCGGCTGCAGAGCTGGGAGCCAAGCAGCAGCACACAGAACAAACAGAATTTTTTTTTGCAACTAGAGGGGGAAGCACAGAGCTAAAAATAAAACGAAAAGATCAGTATCTGTCAGTCTGACAGCTGATTGGCTGCTCGGAGATGCATATAATTACCAGCAACTGGCGCTGGGTAGGCGAAGCCGGGAGAAACTGCTGAGACGAGGTTAGGATTTAACCTTTAAATTCTGGAGCCACCGGAAACCGAGGGGAGGACGACAGGCGTCGGTGCTAATGGGGGTGGGCGGTGGGCCGCCGAGTCCGGGGCAGGTCCGGGGGGGCTCCTCCGGGAAGGCCCTGGGAGCCCTCCGCCCTGACTGCCCCCCCCATCAGACTGGGAGTGCATCTGATTGGGCGGCCAGGAGGCGGTGGTCCTTCTTCCCGCCCAGGTTGGGGGTGGTGTCTTCCGGGAAGTCGGGGTCTCGAGAGTGAGTGAAGGGGCTTCCTAGGCTGCTGCTCCCCTGCCCACTGGCCTCCTGGCAAGGCCCACTCCTGTCCCCACCCACATCCCTCCACCTTTCCCTGCCCGGTGTCCGTTTTCCAACCCATCCCAGCTCTCCTTCCTTCACTGGGAATCACTCAGATGCTGGCTTTTCCCCGCCCCACCCGGGAAAGGCATCTTGGCACCTCAGACTTGTTCTAGGTCCCTAGAGATTGAGAATAAAGGCAGGCCTGGAGGGATGTTGTGGTCTCACTGAACCTCAGTTTCTTCATCTGTAAAGTGGGGGAGATGATAATAGGTCCACCTGACCATTTGGCTGATGCTAGGGGTGCATTGGGCCCAGTCTTGTGTCTTGATTCTCTCACCTGAGCCAGCAGTCAGGAGATGCAGCCTCTAGTCTTAGCCAGGAACTGTCACTTGGCTTTCTCTCTTTGAACTGGTCTCCCCATCTGTGAATTGGGAGTAAGAGCTCCTGCTCTCTGACCCAGGGGGTGGGGTGCCAGGTGAGACAGTGTAGGTGACAGTGCTCCATAAATGGCACCTATTGGGAGAGGTGGGAGAAAACTTCTTGTAGCTCCTTGAACCCACCACTTTCTCCCGTCCAGGCCTTCGCCTAAGCTGTGGCCTCTGCCTGGAACTCCTTTCCTTCCTCGCTCTCCAGCCCTTCCCTTCAGTGCCTCTTCCTCTGGGAAGCCCTCCCTGACACCCCAGCAGGTTCTCTCCTGCCGCCGCCCCCTGGTGTCTCACCTCATAATCAGACCCTGATTATCTGCCTCACACACAGGACGTGAGCCCTGTGAGAGCAGGAACCACACACCTGGCCAGGGCCGGGCCTGAGCCCCTCAGGAAGTGAGACAGTCAGATCCCTGATATGGGGCCTGTGGCCTTGGGAGCCAGAAGGAGGCAGAACCACGCTGCCCAGGCTTCAGGCAAACAGCAGCCTCGGTTGGGGAACCATCTTTCCCCAGTGCATCAGCAGAGCGGACCCCGAGTGCCTGGGGAACACCGGGCCCTGCCCGCTGAGCAGGTGACACTCGGGGAAGTTGCCCAGGTGTGCCTCCTGTGGAAGAGGGAGAATGCCACCTTGATGCCACGGTCCTAGCCCTAGCTGCTCCCTTCTCAGAAAGTTACAGAGCTTCGCTGCCTGTCCTGGCCGTCTCCCTGTGCTAAGACCTAGAAAGTGATTGTGAGGAGCTGCACCACGATATCTCGTTGGAAGCAATGTTGTTGTTATCCACGTTTTGCAGATGAGGAAACTGAGGCACAGAAGGGTAACCAACATGACAAAGCCTGGATCCAGCCAGTCCCGTGACTCCTGAGGCCAGGCCCAGCAGCCCCTGCCTCTCTGAGGCGGATAAAAGGGAGTTGTTTCTAGAGCTGTTGCCGTGAGACCTTCAGGCAGATAAATTGTCACAGAGTCTTGAGAATGCTTTTGTGTGTGGTGTGCAAAGGATGTCCCGTTTGGGGTCTCTTGGAGAGACCAGGAAGATTTAAACTGCTTTCCTGTGATTTGGGGATGTCAGACTGGTGTTTCTTTTGCATGTGACATGGTTATGAGACCAGGCTCCCAGGCAGCCCAGTTCTATTCAGGTTACAGTCATGACAATAGCAACAGCAGTAAAAGCCGTTTTCTCAGACTGAGCGTTCACCATGTGCTCAATGCTGGGCTCAGCCTCGACTTGGGTGCACACTCTGAGCCCTCCCCACCAGCCTGAGATAGAAATTATTCTCATCCCTGTCTTATTTCCATATAGCTGGTATCTGAATCTGTTAGTCTCCACATTCACTGTCTTCTGTTAGTGAGCTGGGTGAAGGTCCCATTCTGGGCTCTCCCATTCATTTCTGAGTCCCCAGCAACCAGCACCAGCTCCACAAAGAGCAGCTGGACAATACAACTTTGCTGGACATACTTCAGATAAAGAGACTGAGGGTCAGAGAGGTCACACGGCTTGCCAAGAGGGAACCCCTGGTTTCTGTGGCTCTAGAGCCCAGATTCTAATCACCACCTCATACAGCTACTTGAGAGACCCTCTCTGAGATGCCCCCGCTCAAGAAAGCCACAGAGCATGAATCCCCTTACCCTCACTCCCACGCACCGTTCTCAGGCCTGTACGAAAACCGAGGAATCTCCTAAACTGAACCTGCCTCCTCCCTACCTTATCCTTCCTTACTAGGACTCGGATGGAAGTTGGCCAGAGTTGGCTGGGTCTTGGGGAAGTTGCACTCTTCTGGAGTTGCCCAGCTGTTTTGTGTGACCTGATTCCAATTTTCCTTCCTTGTCACATTGGTTCCCATTCAGAGAAGTCTTTGAAATGGATATACTTTACTGTGTGACTTCCGATTCGGTTAATTCATCTGTGCGGTTGATCACTGTTTCTCATCTCGGTGATGGGGCCCCTGGTTCTGGGGGTTTACGCAAATGTCTGAGAGAGGCTGGGGTTATGAAGCTGAGACACTGATGGTTTAGAGCTTGACTTGACCACTCTGTGACCTTGGGAACCTCATTTGACCTCTCTGAGCCTTGGCTTCCTCATCTGTATAATGGGGACATGTAGGGAAAGTATCCATCCTGATGCCTGGTAGTAGGTGGGGAGAAAGAGGTCAACCTTCCTCTTTTAAAAAAATCCCATTTCCCACAAATAATATATGATTCTTATCCTTATACATTGAGAAATATTTGCTTTAAAAAAATCTGAACACCGATTAGTACTTGAGTGCCTGCTGCGTGCCCAGCATTGCGTTTGGCCCCTGGAAAGCTGGATGGTGAGACCCCACTCCATCGGGGTGTGTCCAGTGCAAAACTCACCTGCTCAGGCCATCCTTACACAACCCCAGAGGTGCAAGGGACTAGGGGCGCCATTTCCCAGGTGAGGAAAATGAGGCACAGAGAGGGGGAGCGGCTTGCTTAGGGTTCCACAGTGATAAACTGATGAGCCTGTCTTTGGATGGGTGCTGTTCTGCTGATGAACAAATTGGGGTCTGCTTCCAGCATGGGCTGGGGAGATACATCGCCTGGACTTTGGGTCTTGACTACAGGGTACCAGGCGAGCTGTCAGGGCACAAACGTGCACCATAGGTGGTCCTTGCCCTGCATCTCTTAGGAGGAGGGGACACATGGACAGACCAGTGAAAAGTGGCAAAACAGGGGGCACCCAAGGCTGCATAACTGACCCATCCCATAAAGAATTGCTGGAAAGACCCCCACAGGACCTTGCTTTATAAAAGTCCCCTAGTTGGTGCATCAACATCAGAGTTGTAGGCCCTTTGCTGTGGCTGATGGATGGGTGGTGCCTTTTTTTATACTCACAGTGGACTCCTCTTGGGTTATATTTGAAACACAGTTGGCTTGTCCTTCACTGTGCTGTTCTGGTCCATGGTCATGAGGCCTCTGGCCCGGGGTTTCCAGCTCCTGCTCCTCAGACACATGAGAATCATTTTTAGAAAGAAATTGTGTCCCTCCCCCCCACACCCAGCCCTGTGCCCAAAGGTGACTTCAAGTCCTGGATGGAAGGATGCCTTTCGGTCGCCATGAGCTCTGGGGTCTCCACGACCAACGAGGTGTCTCTGGATGGAGGAAGAGCGCCCAGGCAAGGGGCTGCGAGGTGAAGCTGTCAATGGATTGCAAGCCCCCGACAGGCATCGGAATTCAGAGTCCTGGCCATTGACCTCTGAGCTCTCCAAACCAGCACCTCCAAGGCCTCAAACCTCCCGAGGGTGTAGGGTAGAGGAAGGAGGAGTGGCGAGGAGAGCTCTGCCTACAAGGAGCAAGAGAGGCGCCACCATGGCTCACATGCGCACGCAGCCACACCAGAGGCGGGAAGGAAGGTGCGGAGCTGAGTAGAAGCCGCACGGAGAGGCCCACACCCGTCTTGTTGCAGGTTTCTACAAGAAATTCAAGTTTGTCTGTGGCTGGTTTCCTCCAGGCTCCCCTGAAAACCTGCAAACAACAGCCCACACGTTGTCCTCAAGGTCAGCTTTCATGGAGAATGTGGCATGAGGGGTACCTGGTGAAGACCAGGGATGTGGGCACAGCCGGCCCCTCGTGTCTTTGCCTCCCAGGGCAGCCTGTGGCGGCTCAGGCCAGCCACCCCACGGGGCTGCCTCTGCAACCCCAGCACCAGTGGGGCTGGGTGGGGGTGGGGAAACACTTGCTCTGTTTTAAAGAAAATATAAGAAAGCAGGTGCCACCGCTGAAAAATAATTGAGACAAATGCCCTCCCTTTAGTAACTCAAGTTTCTAAATGAATTCCTCTCCACATTCCCACCAGAAAAGGCCCTCCTGCTGTTATTGGCCCCAAGGCCCTTGTTTGCCCAACGAGCAAACTATATCTGTTGAGTAATATAATCTTTCCCATTTGAGGTTAATCAGGGGCAACTGTGACGCATGCTCAGCTCCTACCAGCCCGGAGAGTCTGAAGAGGCACAGTAGGTTGATAGACTCCCACCCAAAGCAAAGGAGCATGATACCGTATGTAGGCTGTGGTGGCCTGGCTCTCAGTAAAGGTGCAGTGACCGTCAGGGACTTCAAGATGCTATAAATAGCATGGAGCCTCCCAGACAACCTTGGAGGGCCCCTCAGGGAACTCCAGACTGGGAACCCCTGGGGTAAACCAGTTGGGATGGAGGTGCAGCTATTTGACAATCCCTGCAGCCACCCCCATTTCCCCATAAAGGAAGTCCTGGTCACGCCAGCAGGGTGTCCTGTCTGGGGAGATCTCAGTGGCTGTGGGTCAGCCTGACTCTGGCCCATTTACCACTGTGTGACATGGGGTCACATGTCACACTGCCTCTCTCTGAATCTCTGGGTCCCCCTGGGGTGTGAGCTCTCTGTAAGGGCTGGGTGTCTTTACTGTTGTCACTGCTTCTTGTTCAGGTCTCCTGCCTTCTCACTCTGCCATGCCCTGATCATCTCACTGGATTTCTGTGATAAAAGGGTGATGCAAAGGTATAGGGAACACACGAAACCCCTCTGAGCAGCAGACTGTGGTGGGACAGAGAACCTGGAAGGGGAGTGAGGCGAGCAGGCGTGGCCGCCCATTACAGGGCAGGCTGAGGGTACTTTGAGATTGTAGTCCTGGAGTGCCTCTGAGCACTCCCCACCTTTACCATGCCTCGAATCACCTGGGGGTCTTGTTTAAATGCAGATTCTGATGCAGAGGCCTAGGTAGGAGCTCCCAGGTGAGGCAGATGCTGGGCCAGCCTCTGAGTAGCGAGGGGTCCACACCAGGCCCTCTGGTCTGAGGCAGGAGGGCAGGCCACGTGGTGTCTGGAAGTGATGGCTCCGGGCTGGCCCCGAGAGCCCCCAGAATGTCCACGTCGGGAACCATGAAGCAACGTGAGGGTGAAGTTATGTTTTTAACCAAAGAAAAGGCCTCTGCTTCCTATCGAGTAGAAAGATCTCTGTTCCCACCCCCATGCAGCCCCAAGGGCCCGAAAGAATGCGGTTTTCTGAGCACAACCTTCTCTTGCTGAAGGGGGTAGATTCGCTCTTAAAAAGTTGCCTGTAAAATGAATTTTTCTATGTCAAATGCTGTATTCCAGTGGTTCATGTTTTAGGATGATGGCTGCATTCCCACTGAGAAATACCAAGTTCTGAGGCATTGGCATGGGAGACGAGGGGTGGGGAGTTCAAGGGTATAGCGTGGCCCATAAGGCCCATGAGATCTGGAGCTAGAGTTTGGGAACCAAAACCTGAATCCCAAATGGGTCCCCCAATGGACTGAGGTCCATGGCCAGACACTGGCCCAGAGCCCTGACCAGTACCACTGATTGTAAGAGTGATGGGACCAGAGGGGACCCAGGGCAAAGCAGTCCCTTCAATGAACAAGGAAGCCAGAGAGACCATCAGTCATGGTTGGCCGGCTATCTTGCCTTTATATAAAGTCCCACGGGCTACACTCTGAATATCAGGCTGGGAGTGGTTTTGTTTTTATACCGGGCACAATCATTTAATGTGATTTAAGTGTAAGGAGCCTGCTGCTGTGACAGTTTGGCTGTTATTCTCAGAGGGCTCTGAAGCTATGATGCTGATGAAGACTGCTGAGAAGTGTTGAGTTAGGACAGTGCTGGGTTTCCCGGCCCAGAGGGGTCTGCCCTGGGAATCTTGAATAAGAGACCAACGTTCACAGTCTGCGCATATTAGATGGACCTTCGCTTTCCTGAGCATATTCTGGGATCAGTATTCCAAGGAACACACTTTGGGAACCCAGTTAATGAAAGACCCTCGGAACCAGACAGTCGCTCTGGTTCCTGTAACCTCATTAGTAATTAGTTACCTGCATAACAAATCACCCCAAATGTAGTGGCTTAAAACAATAAGCATCTATTGGGTTGCTGGAAAAGTCATGACGCACTTTTGCAACGAAAACCATAGAAAAAATACGTCACGACTTTTCCGACAAGCCCAATATTATCTCACAGTTTC